TTTAGCATTTTCACCCATGTTTTCCAATACTTTGATATATGGTTGTTCATAATAGATTATTATAACCCTTTCTATTTCTATGGTGTTAGTTGTTACTTCACTTTTATTTTTCATTTTATTTATTTGAGTCATCTCTCTTTATTTCTTGACTAGTCTGTTTAATAGTTTGTCAATCTAGTCTATCTTTTTAAAGAACCAACTCTTGGTTTCATTAATTTCCTTAGATTGTGTTTTGTTTATTTCCTCTACGGTCTTTATTTTTTCCTTCCTTGTACTAACTCCAGGTTTTTTACCCCGTTCCTTTAGTTGTAGTGTTAGATTGGTATCCTTGTTCCTGTTTCCTAAGGTGGGCTTGTGCTGGTTTGGATTTCCCTATTATAACTGCTTGTTCTGTGTCCCATAGATTTGGGTTGTTGTGTTCTCATTTTCATTTGTTTTAAGGTAACTTTGATTTCTTCCTTGGTCTGTCTGATAACCTATTCATTGTTCAGTAACATGTTCCTTAGCCTCAGTGACTTTGTGTGTTGCTCTGTTTTTGTTTTTGTTTTTCTTCTTGTGGTTGACTTATAATTTCATAACATTATAGTCAGAGAAGGTGCTCAATATGATTTCAATCTTCTTAAACTTATTGAGATTTGCTTTGTGTACTAACATGTGGTCTATCCTAGAAAATGTTTCATGGGCACATGGAAAGAATGTATATTCTGCTGCTTTGGGGTGGAATGCTCTGAATATTTCAATTAAATCCATCTGCTTTAGTATGTGATTGGAAATCTGTGTTTTCTTGTTGATTTCCTTTCTGGAAAATCCATCCATTGATGTCAATGGGGTGTTAAAGTCCAATACAATGTAAGTATTCCTGTCAATCTCTCCCTTCATGTCCTTCAAGATTTGATTTCTTAAAATGTATTTTTATTGATTTCAGAGAGGAAGGGAGAGGGAGAGAGAGAAAGAAACGTCAACAATGAGAGAAAATCATTGATCGGCTAACTTTGGCCTGCTCTGGGGAAAGAGGCTGAAATATGGTCATGTGCCCTGACTGGGAATCCAACTGTGACATCCTGATTCATAGGTCAGAACTCAACCACTGAGCCATACAGGCCAGACTCAAGATTTTCTTTACATATTTAGGTCCTCCTTTGTTGAGTTTATAAATGTTTACCAGCGTTATACCCACTTCTTGGATTGCTCCTTTTATTATTATGTAGGGTATTTCTTTGTCTCTTTTTATAGTCTTTGTTTCAAAGTCTGTTTTGTCAGATATAAGTATTGCTGCCCCAGTTTTGTTTTTTGTTTTTTTTTTTCATTTCCATTTGCATGAAATTTCTTTTTTCAGCCTTTACTTTTCTCTGTGTGTATCTCATTCTGGAGTATGTCAGTTGTGGACAGCATAGATGTGAATCTTGCTTTCTTATCTGATCAGCTACCCTAAGTCTTTTGGTTGTAGCATTTAAGCCATTTACATTTAAAGCAATTATTGATTGGTACACAATTTTTTTCCATGAAGCCCCTTTCTTCCCCACCTCCCTCTACCCTTGCTCCTGGGCTTCAGGTATCAGGAGCGCCCCCTGGTGTCCTGAGCACCCCCTATAACCAGCCCTGCTGTCTCCCTCAGGGTGGTTTGTGTCTGGGCTCACACTGACTTCCCCTCACTTTGTCTTGCACAGTAATACATGGCAGTGTCCTTGGCTCTCAGGCTGTTCAATGGGAAATAAACCTGGTTCTTGGACTTGTCCCTGGTGGTGCTGAGGTTGGATTTCTGTGTGGGGTTATAGTTTGTACCCCCATAACCTCATATAACACCAACCCACTCCAGTCCCTTTCTCAGAGCCTGGCAGGTCCTGTTCACACCATAGCTCATTAGAGAGAATCCAGAGACAGTGTAGGTGAGGGAGAGGGTCTGTGAAGGTTTCACCAGTCCTGGGCCCGACTCCTGCAGCTGCACCTGGGACAGGACACCTGGGGACAAGGAGCATCAGTCCCTGTCAGTCACCTCCAGTCACAGCCTTCCCATGACCCCTGTCTGACCCCTGAGACCCTCATCTTGATAAGTTGTCACCAGGCACAGGACAAGACCCAGCAGTCTCATCTTCTTCTAGACCACAACTCTGCCTTCCCAGAGACCTCAGCCCTGTGTGAGGAGAGAGCTGTGAGCCTGCACAGCCCAGAAGAGGATTTACCCTGGAGCTTGAACAGACATTTGCATATGGGGAAGCATTTTCCTTCTAAGTAGAGGGACTGAGGTCTGTATTCCCTGATCATTTTTGGGTCCATGATGGGGCATCTCTTTCCTTGACCTCACTCACCATGGAAGTCAGGCACAGGGAACTACCTGGGTCATGAAGCACATTGGAATTAGGTCAAGGACAACCTCACCTGAGCAGAAGAAGAAATGTTAAACTAGATAGGTATGTTTCATTGGTAAATTCTCATTCATCTTTCAAACAAATTTAATAGGGTTTAGCATTTGTTTAGCTTTTGAATCCAATAATTACATATATCTACAAGTAATAAATGTTTATCATTATCATTTTATATGCTAATTATGTTCACCTGGTGTAAAATATTTTAAAAAGAAAGCACAGCCATATTTTTTGTCACATTGTCTTCATTTATATTTCATATGAGTACTTGCTTCCCAACCACAAGAAAAAGGGAGACCCTTGATTCTTGATGTTGGAACTCTTAATGTGACACACTGTGCAAACTCTTCCCTTATGCAAACCTTGGCATATTGCAGACACCCTAAAATAACCACATCTGAAATAATCATGTTTTAACCTGGATAAAAGATAAGAGATAAAGGGAGTGATTATGCATGTGTACCATTGAGAATCTTTCATATCTTGAACAATGTATGCGGCCTGTTAGGTGACCTGATTTCTCAGTCTAGTGTTGTCAGTGATGTTGAGGATCACAGTAAGGGAAATTGGAGAATTCCTAGCACATATTTTCTCACAGGAAAGGGAACTTCAACCTTGTCAGGAAACCCTCATCCCAGCCTCCCTCTGCCCTGTCCCTGGGGTGCTCACTGTAGTCAGAGGATGTTGGGCTCTCCCCCTAACATACCACATCCTTAATGTGCAATGCACACATTCTGCACCAGGCACATGATTCAGAAATATATTCTCTTGCTAAGCTAATAATTTAATTTCATTGATGGAGTATTTGGAGGAACAAATGATTTTCATTTTATTACAGTTCAATTCATCAGTATTTTCTTTGATGGATCTGAATATGGGTGATTTTACAAAGAACTCCTGAGAAAATGCTGAGCCTCCACTGTCCATGTGGATTGGCTACAGCAGCCACAGGGACTGGAGCAGGTTCTGGTACCAGAGGGGAGTGCTGCTGGGAAACTACCCATAAATCTGGACGTGACTGTGGAACTGGGTGAGGGGTGGAAGCTGTACTTGTTTTGAGTCACATGACAGAAATATGCCTGATGTTCAGGACAGAGAATTACTGGACATGTGGGATTAAAGCCTCCTCCAGTGAAGGCCTGGAAGGAAGTGCAGGGCATGAGAGAGACAGCTTGTATCCTCATAGGAAATGCCTGAATATTAATGAACAGGAGTGTGTGACAAATAGAAATGTTAAATATCATGCAGGCAGGAAACAAGAGAAATAAGGAACGTGTCATTGCAAACTGGTGGGAAAGGGATGCCTGTTTCCTACATGCACATTCTCACAGTGCCTCTGCTCTAGAAGGTAACCCCTTCCCAGGTCCAGGGGATCTGCACTTGGACACCTTTGGGATCATTACTGATCTGGTCTCAACATAAAGTACAAAAGCTGCATAATTCATTGGGTCCCATTTATGAAATCTCTCAACATTTACTGGGAAGTGTGGATAACCCTCACTGGAAGAGCCATAGTGATTGTGTGTTTGTATGAGGAGCCTTCATTTCATTGGACCAGGGCCCCTGTCTCAGTCAATAGTCATCATCGTCCTCCTCATTTTATGCTCCTCCTCTTCCCCCTCCTTCTCCTCCTTGTTATAATCAATTGTTTTCTACTCATTTTATGTAGATATGGTTGTTGTTCACAAATAATGACCCTCGGTCTCATATTTGCTCATTTTTTATGGTTATTACGTGGATTTGGTAGCCACACTGTATATTATTTTATGTTTCACTGCTGACAACTGATGGCTCCATCCTGCCTCTTCTCCATCAGCCCCAAGGGGACTCTGATAGGAAAGGTTTGTTCTCCTCTTCATGTGTCACCAAGAAGTTGGAACCACACAAGGAAGCAGAATTCTGCCCACTGGCTCCCCACCTCACAGAAAATAAAAGCCTCCTTTTCTGCCTCTATCCCAGCACCTTGACTTACTGGAGGGCCTTTCCTGTGCCTCCCAGAGATTTCAACTATGAGCACAATGATCATCCCATGTCCCTTGGTGTGTGTGTTTGTCGTCAACCTGGTCATCTGTACAAGCTGCTGTGGGTCCCCCTGCTTCTGCCTGGTGTCAACTACTCTTGGTGCTATGAACATAACTATTAGTCAGTGACCATCACCACCTGGGGTCCTTCTTCTCTGGCGTTGGGGTCACACCCCTCTGGTGCCCACTGTCCAGCGCACACGTGTCCTCCTGCTGCCTGGTTGGGGCCCTGAGCTGTGTGGGGCTGACTGCCCTGTTGAGTCAGCAGAGCCTCTGGTTGGACTTAGGTGCCTTGGGAAGAATTTTTGATCATTAATTGGTACTTGACACAGAGTGTCTAAAAAATAAATCTCTGCAGTTTGTGCACATGAGAAAGTTGTCTCTGTTTACTACAGACTTTCTAACTCAGAGACATCAGAGGTAAGTGCACTGTCAGGAATCCAGAAGTTCCCTGAGGGAAACTGACATGAAGAGGAATCCACACAGGAAACCAGCCCAAACCTCCAACTGCTCCTGCTGCTGAGATGGTCCTTGTGTTCACAGACCCTGAGTGCACCCTGGTAGTCACAGCTTCTGATGCAGGGAGGTTTGTGTCTGGGCTCACACTGACTTCCCCTCACTGTGTGTCTGTCTCTCTCGCACAGTAATACAAGGCCATTTCTTCTGCTCTCAGGCTGTTCATTTGCAGATACAGCATGTTCTTAGCATTTTCTCTGGAGGTGGTGAATTGGTCCTTCACAAAGTCTGCATAGTATGAGCCACTTCCATCAGGATTAATGTGTGAGACCCACTGCAGCCCCTTCCCTGGAGCCTGGTGGACCCAGTGCATCCAGTAGCTACGGAAGGTGAATCCAGAGGCTGCACAGGAGAGTCTCAGAGACCCCCCAGGCTGCACCAAGCTTCCCCCAGACTCCACCAGCTGGACCTCGCACTGGACACCTGCAAACACAAAGACATCCTGGTCAGGAAACACTGACCTGTATACTGTTTCTCTCACTCATACCCACTCACATACTCAGTGTTTCTCATTCTCCATAAAATACCTCTTAAAATAGCAACAAGGAAAACCCAGCTGAGCCCCAACCCCATGGTGAGTGGTCTGTGTTCAGTCTTGATCTGGGGATGTGAACACCTGGGGATCCCGGGGCTGGACTCCTGTCCCAGAGCTGCTGGGTCATGGCTGGCCTGGTTTATATGAGCAGAGGAGGACCTATTTGCATGTCCTCCTGCTATATAGGGAGATCTGGGGTTGGATTATGACAGAAAGGACATGGTCCCAGAGTGTGACATGTCCAAGTGTGCATGTCTGTGAAGAATTACTCCCCATATCTGGGCCTGTGCTCTCCCCAGTAGACCCAAAACTCCAGGAGACCTGTACAGAACCAGGAGATAAAATTGTCATAAAAAGAAAAAGAGGAGGTTTAAAATGAGAGATTCCTTTGACAGTCACCAGTAATAACAACCAAGAGAAATAAACCCTCACAGACCAAGAAAGAAGTAAAAGTGCAGGAGGTTCATGTTCAGGAGACAGAAAGTTCCACCTGACACTTTTTCCTCTACAAAGTGATCTGAGGATAAACTGAGACCAGAGTGTGAGCCTAGAGCCAGTGAACCAAGGGTTGGGGGAGAGAGGAGTGTCTGTGTGGGTCCATGAGAACCAGAAGCATGGACGATAGAGACACAGACAGAGCTCCCGGACCCCATTCCTTCAGGGGAGTTTGGTGCTGGACCTGTAGCAGCTGCACTGCCTCTTTAGTGGTGTTTATTCTTTAGTGTCTGTTTTAGATCCAGTTTCATATGTTGGGATATAGAATAATCTCCAGCATGACCAGGTGTGTTTAGCGGAAGATGTTGGAATGGATTTGGGAATAATTAAGTTGAATTTACGAAATCTTGTTATTGGATACCTGATGTTTGCATGTGACCCTTGGGACTGCTGTCACCGTGTCCCCACATGACAGGGGTCAACTGGAGCCTGCACCTGACTCAGTGCCACATTGAGGGGAAAGCTATATGAGAACATGATGGAGGATTAACCAAGACCGAGGACACATGTGTCCAGGGTTCTTGTTTCATTAGGTTGTGATCTCCTTGCCATTTAGCCAGTTCAAGTTTTCTTTCCTCATTTTCTCTGAAACAGCCCCAGGAATGTTTAGAGTCTTGAAGACACTTTGTTGAGAGGGTGCAGAAACACAAGCCATTTTTGTGTAGATCTTGTATCTTACATCTTTCCTGAATTCTAGTTCTATTAGCCCCTCATACAGTTTTTAAGGTTTTCTATGTACAAGATCATGTCATGTGTATAAAGATAAGGTGAAGCATTTTAACTTGTTTCTTTCTTCTTTGAACATTTAGATTTTTTTCTTGCCCAATTATTCTGACATGGACTTCTAGTTTTGATGAATAGAAGTAGTCACGGGTGAGCCCTTGTCTCAGTCATGATGTAAGAAGTATAACTTTGACATTTTCTCTGTGTAAAATGATGTCACTTGGTGGCTTCTCAAATGTGACTTTTATTACTTTGAGGTCCATCCCTTATACACCTGATATGCTAAGAATTTTAATCCTGTAGCAATTTTTCATTTTAAAGGCTTTATTCTGAATCTATTTATGTGATGGTATAGTTTATCTTTCATTCTGTGGATGAGGTGTATAACAGTTACTGGTTTATGTGCTGGGCTGCATATCTGGCACTTTGGCCAGGCGGGGCATGCTGTACTCTCTGTTCCCAGAACACATAGATAGGAAGCTAATCACTGTACTGATGCTGTACTGTGTCAGGAACAAATTGTGTAAACAAGGCTTTGTAACTAACTTTGTGGTTTTTGCAAATAAAAACGCTGTAACTCCTGTAGTCGGCACTGCAGTTCAGCCTCTGCTTCGGCTGGCCATCTTAATAAAGGCTCCTAAATCTTGATCTGAATCCCTGGTGGTCGTCTCCGTGGGTCTCCCCATTACATTTGGAGGCCCCAGTGAGATCCACTCCAGCCAAGTTGCCGGTGGACACCCTGGACGCCTCAGGCAAGGACACTCCAGTCTCAGTCCGGGTCCCAGGGAGGTGGAGTGTTTTCCTCCCAAAACTGCAATCCAAAAACAATGAGCCACCTGGACCTCCAGCGGGGAGGTAAGAATATGGTATCTGTCTGTGGAATGTTCCCTTTAGGACTCAAAAGAGGGCTGGATGCAGCGGAACCTCGGAGTCTGACTGCCCGGACGCGATGGTGTCTGGGGGTCCTGGTCTGGGCAAACTTAGGTTGCATTTGTCTGGTTTGTTTTCTCTTTGTTCTTTGTTCTTTGACTTTGTCAAAATGGGTCAGGGTCAGTTGTCTTCCTCGACCCCCTTACAATGTTTTCTTGAGAATTTTCAGGACTTCAAGAGACGCAGAGAGGACTACGCCACCCCAGTTAATTATTTTGATTTACAGACATTTTGTTCTCTCAGACCCACTCCAAGTGAGTGAAAGGGGAGCTTGATTACCTCCACGGAAGTCAATGACTCCCTCAGATAAATTAATCAGGAATCAGGTGGACTGTTTAAACTCTGAGTAAACATCTGGTAGAAGTAAAAAACTCAGACTGTCTGGTGTATGAATGTAAGTGTAAGAGTCTGTGTGAAGCGAAAGCTACTTTGTGCCATCTGGCTGTACACATGAAAGTATTTTCTCTGTTGTTTAATTTCTTTATTAAAGATAGGGCAAACCCTGCTATAGGGGGAAGACAGTAGAGAACTTTTAATTGCTTTTCCCTGATGTATAATTTTGCTGTGTTAGGTTAAAATTTTAGAAGTCTAAGGTTAATTTAAATGTATAAAATTTGTGAAGGGTACAACCCAGAGAATTTTAAACAAAGGCTTGTTAGGTTAAGATTAGGACATTTTCTCATGGCCTGTGTAGGGTGAGGGAGAGGGACTGCTGGATTTTTATCATGTGGTCCCGAGACCTGTGACCTGCCTGCCATTCCTGATAGATTTACAGTGGGTCTCTGTTGGGGACAGCATCATCTCTGACTGGGGGGAGGAAGAGAGCTGAAAACTGCTCCAGAGTGGGTGCGAGATGGGGTAGTGGCAGTAGGATTTGCTAGATAGGGTAGTAGGCTCTCAGCCTGCTGAGATGGAGGAGGCTTAGGCTGGGGGACAGGGGGATAGTCAGAGAGGTCAAAAGCGGTAAAAGAGGAGAAGGGTTTGAGCCTCTGGGGCTTAGAATAAAGAAGGAAAAATCTAGGGAGAGCAGCTAAGGACAGAGTAAATGGTTAATGCAGAAAAGGGTGGAGGGCGTCGGCAGGGAGAGATGGTTTTTGTTGATTTTTACTTATCTGAACTATGCTGGACTCAAGGCCGCAAGCTGCTACTAAGCACAACAAGTTTTTCTCTACCTTGTTTTGTCCTCTTTAACCCTTCCAATACTAAATTAGACTAATGCAATATACTTAAAATTTCATAAAGGTTAACCTAAGAAATGCTGGCTGTTTACTTTATAGTAATCATTAAAGGATTGGGGTTTCTAAGAATAAGGAATTACTGAGTAGAAGGTCTGAGGCATAGTTATACATTTTTAAAGGACATAGAAAGAAGGTTTAAAGGCTAATTTGAAAGTGTGAAATTTATAAAGGATATATATATAAAGAAAAATGTTAAAAGAAAATTAATTAAATGATAGAGGCCAATAAGCCAGGAAAAGTAAATAATTTACATTTTGCCTCCCTAAACAGAGGGCAAATAGTTATGCCAAAGTACTTAGGGGGGACTAATAAAATAAATCCAACAGTTACTGTTTTTTTATATAACTCTGGAGAGTCAATAAAAAGGACTAGCAAAGAAAATCAGAAGCTCTTAAGGAAGGTCAGTAGCTTTTTCTCCTTATGTAATTCCTCTGAAATTTGGCAATACTTAATAAATAAATCATAGCAATACATTTCTTTGCATAAATTCAATAAGACCGGTTTCCAATAGTGGTTTTATTGACTGAAAACTTTGACTGGAGTATCATGTTTTAAAGAGCCCTGTCTGAGCTCTGAAGACTTGAAGCCAATAAGAGTACAATGGAGAAAGCCTGGTATCTTGCTTGGTAGCCCTAAAAATAGTTGGTGCTGGAGTGTCAGGCCGATGCCCTACCATCACTGGCGGTTGGTCAGAGTAAAAGGGGAGCAATAGGGGCACCTCTGTGTCCCTGCAGAACCCCCATACACTCTGGGCCTTGACAAGTAGGAGGGCTACTGAGATGGGCCTTGAAACCTAGGACATGGGCCCGGGCAGAGATACTGCAGGTGAGGAATTCACCTAACTCAGCAGATACTGCAGGCAGGCCTGATGGCGGCTGGATGGCTTAGCTTCCTGGCCCAATGGGGCACACTAAGATTCACTCGTGAAATTCCAGCAAAGGTAGTCAAGTACCATTCTTGTTGTATTTATGCAGACAATCAGGCCAAATTAAATACAATAGATAAATTGGTGTTGATTTGGTTCTTTTAATAAACAGAGGGATAATTTTAAGGAGAAAAACTCTATTTCAATAGAGGTTATTAAAACTGAAATGTTTCCTTTCCCTCCCACCAGACCATTTGTTACAGTTTGTCTCCACCAGATCACAAGCCCACCTCTTTCTATGCTCAGGCCTCATAGTCCCTCTGACAGACAGCAAGGATCTCTTGGCTCTGAGAGAAACTTCTGACCCGCCTCAGCAGGAAGTAATTACAGAATAAATCTGTAACATCCATTTTCCCTGAAAGGATTCAGAGCTGGGATCCTTAAGGAAATATAGTAGGAAGTTAGACAGACATGAGCAGAGCAAGAACGATGGGCCAATTGGCACTACCAAATGTAACTAAGTCTTTCCACCTCTATGTGTGTAAGACAACGGAACTCCCCAGAAGCAAGAGGGAACTAGGCTGCAGATGAAGCAGCCTGGGAGGCTGCCCAAAAACCAGTGGGGCCTTTACAGATTCTAGTGACCCTTCCAGACCCTGAGCTACCCACCTCACCAGCTTATACAGAAATATACCCAATCTAGAAAAGCTAAAATCCATAACCAATCTTAACTCAAGTTCTTTCAGGCTTTACAGTCTACCCAGAAAGCAGACCAGAAGCACATCCGAAATGCTCTGCCTGTA